CCTCACCTGGTCCCTCACCTGGTCCCTCACCTGGTCCCTCACCTGGTCCCTCACCTCGTCCCTCACCTCGTCCCTCACCTCATCTCGTTGACGGATCCTCTCATCCGATCCCTCGCCTGACTAATGATCTGCTTATTCACTTGTCCACACATTATGTGCCTCCCTCACCTGCTCTGTTACCTGTTCCCTTACCTGTCCCCCTCACCTGTCCCCCTCACTTGCCTCCTTACCTCCTCCCTCACCTGTCCCCCTCACCTGTCCCCCTCACTTGCCTCCTTACCTCCTCCCTCACCTACTCCCTCACCGCCTTACCGGATAACTCATCCCTTCACTCAGCTGCTGCCTATTCATCAAGCTCATTAATACAAAAAAATCTGGTCCAATCTCACTCCCCTTTGCCTATTCTTCTTCCTCCTAATTGACCTTTTCACTTACGTTAAGTCTTACATGTCCTCCTGACAATAATCTTAGAAGTTTCTTAGATCCAATGAGTCCCAATCCAATAAGTTCTGCTAGACCCAGTGAGTCCATGAGTCTCGCTTCTTGCAGGTTAGTGTTCGATTCCCGACGGTGAGGGTTGTTGGGTATCGTTCTCTGTCCACATTGCCCTTCCAAATGCTATTTAGCCGTAATGGCTTAGTTATTTCTCCTCATAATGGAATGGGTGTGGAAAAGGTACGATAAATCATGGAGAAAATAGGAATGGATCTGCGAAAGATGATTGGAAAACTACGTATTTAACGTTATCTTTTTAAATACTGAAGACAGTGAAATCAATACTAAAGGTAAACTAAGGGTAAACTAAAGGTAGTTTATTAACTGTATTGGAGGAAAGTACACAGTGTGACTGTGATGTCGTGATGTTCTAGTGTGTAGTGTGAAAGATACGGGGAATATATTAATTGCATTTTTAGAATATCTTACTCACTTTTCCACATATTGAATTTTACACAATTTTCTGTAACGTTTTGTACATGCTGCGAGTGGAAGAACTCTGGGGGTATGTCGTAGGTGGAAGAGCTGAGGGGGATTGGTGCAGGTGGAAAGTTCAGGGGAATGATGTAGGTGGAAAGCTCAGGGGAATGATATAGGTGGAAAGTTCAGGGGAATGATGCAGGTGGAAAGTTCAGGGGAATGATGTAGGTGGGAGTGTTCTGGGAAATGATGCAAATGTCCTGAGTTGCATCAGCTCATTTAGGTTATCAGATGAGGTCATCGGGTCATTAAGTCATTAGGTCATCAGGTTGAGGGCCCTCAGAGGTCAGAAGAGGACACACGAAAAAATAAAAAAACAGAATGACTGACCCCATAAATCTAGTATTGCCTTTCCAGTAATATCCAACAATAGCCCAATTATTTTTGGGGGGAGAGTGGAGGGGGGGGGGGATAGAGGCCTATTCACTAAGCAACATTTAATGATGGAGACCCATGGAGCGAGGGAGCACCGCCCCCTACTCTTCCAACCGCCTACAAACTAACTGCACAACCATTTTTAATATCTTTTGTAATTAAATCATGACAGAATTGCTGGTGGCTCAGGCCAGAACTGCTTTCTTTTTTTTACTTTTTTTCTGCAATTTCATTTGTGTCGACTTTAAAAAAAAAGGTGAAGTGGGATGAGTAGGGTTGGGGGTGATTGGGGGGTGATTTGGGGGTGATGGGGGTGGTTGGGGGGGGTGATTGGGGGTGGTTGGGGGTGGGGGGGGGGAAGGGGTTTAATACCAGGAGGAGGGCGTAGAGGGGTGATGCCCAGAGGAGAGGGTAGAGAAGGCTTATAAGTGTGTATGTATGTGTGTGTGTGTGTGTGTGTGTGTGTGTGTGTGTGTGTGTGTGTGTGTGTGTGTGTGTGTGTGTGTGTGTGTGTGTGTGTTTGCAAAGGTATGTCAATACACTTGTGTACCTTTTCACTCCTCAACTTTATGCGTAGTAAATTACAGGTTTTGAACATAAAAAATCAATGCATTAAACTTATTGTAAATGAAACCGGTTAAAAATTTATAAATGTGAATTTCCAAAAATTTTACGTAAAATATTTAAAATGTGAATTTTAAATATTTCAGGTCTTTCCAAAATATAAGTTTAGTGATGTTGTAACAAAACCTGAACACCTGAGCTAGGATTAAAATCCTTAAGCGTCCAATTACGAAACCTGTGCATCTTTCCTCAATTATGGCGGCTTAGTTTGTGTATATTAAACAGTTTTCTGACCTTCGAAGAACCACGAGGTTGTCAATATCAATAACAACACTGTTGTTATTGATAGTGAACGGGTAGTGAACGAGTTTGTTATTGATAGTGAATGGGTAGTGAAAGATGTTATTGATAGTGAACGGGAACGATCTCGTAGAGATTCTCAGCTTGTAGACTATTTAATAGATACAAAGCCGCCGTGATTGAAGAACGTGATTTGATGTAGCCTGATTTTGGTCAGTAAGTGGATGGGTGATTAAGAGTAAAGCTACGCCATTGGCTAGGTAGACTAAGGTAAACTTGCTAATTGGCTTCTGGAACAGGTCAATGGTCGTTTACCACGAGGCCAATTTTGTTTCCGTAAATGATCACATCTGTTTTATAAACTCGAAATTCTACATGAACTTGGCTATAAAGTTGCTTCATAATCTTAAAAATATCTTCAAGCCAGAACTAGGATTTATCAAGCATTTAAGCAACCTCTTCCGAAACACAGGCGATGAGTCACAATAACGTCTCCGTGGTGTAGTGGTAAGACACTCGCCTGGCGTTCCGCGAGCGCTATGTCATGGGTTCGTATCCTGGCCGGGGAGGATTTACTGGGCGCAATTCCTTAACTGTAGCCTCTGTTTAACGCAACAGTAAAATGTGTACTTGGATGAAAAAACGATTCTTCGCGGCAGGAGATCGTATTCCAGGGACCTGCCCGAAACGCTACGCGTACTAGTGGCTGTACAAGAATGTAACAACTCTTGTATATATCTCAAAAAAAAAAAAAAAAAAAAAAAACGTGGCTGAAGTATGTTGACCAGACCACTCACTAGAAGGGACGACGACGTTTCGGTCCGTCCTGAACCATTCTCAAGTCAATTGTGATGCAATCGAAACCGCTCTTCGTTCGTTCGCTCTTACGAAACCTATGCATCTTTTCTTAAACGTATTATCGTCAGGTCACAATTGCATAGGAGATCTCTGCAACATGGGCTGATCACACACAATGCAACACGACTTTTCTTCTTGGTGGGAGGTGCTTTCTGATGGCTTAAATCTCCAAGTTTCGTAAAAGCAAGAAAATATTCGACCTCAAACATTGACCTTGGCGTCAGAGAGCTTATGGAGGACGTCTTGACCGTACAGGAAGGATGCCGACGCCTTATCTAGAGCCCTGAGGCAATGTTAAAAGTCAGCAGTCTTCGTGTATCTCTGAGGCATCCTTCCTAAATTGTCTGAAGCGAAGGTCAATGTTCGAGGGCGTATAATACCCTATTTTATATACTTAGGAGGTATAAATAATAGGAGACTAATACTACCCAGGGGACAATTTTTATTTTATTTTATTACTCAGCATTATTCTCAGCCTCTAAAAAGCGTAAAGTTCAGAATACATGAAAAGGTATGGAGCTTCGTCTAGCTTGTGTATTTTTATGTATGATTGTGTATGTGTGTATATGACAGAACGTGTAGACCAGTGTGAGGCAATCAAACTAATAACTTGTAGCTCTGATTTAAGAAAGCTGAACGCTTTGTTATATGGAAAAGGGAGAGAAATTGAGTCAAAGTGCCCTCCCCCCCCCCACTCACATAGTGCCCTCCAAGTATGAGCTACCCTCCATATGACTCCTCCAGGCACGGGCTGTCCTCCACTTGCACACACACACACACACACACGGTTAAGAGGCGGGACCAAAGAGCCAAAGCTCAACCCCCGCAAGCACAGCTAGGTGAGAACACAGTACCCTCCCTACCAATTTCCTCTTTCAAATTAACTTAACAACTTCCACCCGGAATGAAAGAAGAGTTCTAAACTTGTGAAAAACAGTTTCCCTTTCCTGCTAATTCTATTTCCATCCCTCATTTTATGCAGCGATGAAATATCCTCCTGAATTTTTCTATGCATAAATCGTGTACTTTACTCGACATTAGGCTACATGATGCGAGGATTTCTGATATTACTGTTGAAGAGGAGAAAGTGGTGGATATGATCTTTTGATGACGAATGTAGGGAGTTGTTAAGAGTTACTGGCTAGCTCGAAAGGCAATTAGGAGGTCCAGTTGTCTCCTTGATAGAGTTTAAGTGACACCCGTGTCAAGTTGAAGTGTGTACTCACTTAGTTGTATTCGCCTAGCTGTGCTTGCGGGGGTTCGGCTCTTTGGTCGCGCTTCTTAACTGTCAATCAACTGGTGTACAGGTTCCTGAGCCTATTGGGCTCTATCATATCTACACTTGGATCTGTGTATGGAGTCAGCCTCCACCACATCACTTCCTAATGCATTCTATTTGTTAACTATTCTGACACTCACTAAATTAATTCTAATGTCTCTATGGCTCATTTGGGCACTCAGTTTCCACCTGTGTCCCCTAGTGCGTGTGACCCTTGTGTTAAATAAACTGTGTTTATCTACCCTATCAATTCCTTTTACAATCTTGTATGTGGTAATCATGCCCCCCCCCCTAACTTTTCTGTCTTCCTGCGAAGTGAGGTTTAATCACCGTAGTCTCTCCTCGTAGCTCATACCCCTCAGTTCGGGTACTAGTCTGGTGGCAAACCTCCGAGCCTTCTCCAATTTAGTCTTAGGCTTGACGAGATATGGGTTCCATGCTTGAGCTGCATATTCCAGGACTGGTCTGACATATGTGGTATACAAGGTTCTGAATCATTTCTTACACAAGTTTCTAAAGGCCCATACACAGAGGAAATCACATTATCGTCATGTATCGATCAACAAATCAGCCTATTCTTAAGAAAAAGAATAATTTTATTAATAGTTTCCTTGTTATGTAGTCTTTAGCTGTTATTGTGACAGTGATATCATGCTTCTGGTGATATCCTTCTGTTGAGGTCCTTCTGTTGAGGTCCTTCTGTTGAGGTCCTTCTGTTGATGTCCTTCTGTTGAGGTCCTTCTGTTGAGGTCCTTCTGTTGAGGTCCTTCTGTTGATGTCCTTCTGTTGAGGTCCTTCTCTTGAGGTCATTCTGTTGAGGTCCTTCTGTTGAGGTCCTTCTGTTGATGTCCTTCTCTTGAGGTCCTTCTCTTGAGGTCCTTCTGTTGATGTCCTTCTGTTGATGTCCTTCTGTTGATGTCCTTCTGTTGAGGTCCTTCTCTTGATGTCCTTCTGTTGATGTCCTTCTCTTGAGGTCCTTCTCTTGAGGTCCTTCTTTTGAGGTCCTTCTGTTGATGTCCTTCTGTTGATGTCCTTCTGTTGATGTCCTTCTGTTGAGGTCCTTCTCTTGAGGTCCTTCTGTTGATGTCCTTCTGTTGATGTCCTTCTGTTGAGGTCCTTCTGTTGAGTTCCTTCTCTTGAGGTCCTTCTGTTGAGGTCCTTCTCTTGAGGTCCTTCTCTTGAGGTCCTTCTGTTGAGGTCCTTCTGTTGATGTCCTTCTGTTGAGGTCCTTCTCTTGAGGTCCTTCTCTTGAGGTCCTTCTCTTGATGTCCTTCTGTTGATGTCCTTCTGTTGAGGTCCTTCTCTTGAGGTCCTTCTGTTGAGGTCCTTCTCTTGAGGTCCTTCTGTTGATGTTCTTCTGTTGATGTCCTGGTTTTATCTTACCGTTGGTGGGTGAAAACCGAGAGTGGGTAGCAACAACGGAAATTACACCATTAGTGGTTAATAAAAGCAACGGTACACACATAAGAGGTGTACGAAACTTTCATTACCTTATCAAAGGCCTTTACTAAAGCATTTCCTCGTCCAGTTACCACACGATATTTCGGACGATTTATTTCGTTACGATATCCGGATGAAATGTTTTCCCAATAACTAGATTAATGGTGATGAATGGAAACAATATATTTCCTAACGAGTTTGATGGTCATTAAGCAGCAGATAAGTTAGAAAGGACAACCCTAATGAGTGCTCAAACGAGGTCATCTAGTTAGTCACTACCACATCTCTTCTCATTTTAGCTGTTATGTTTATATAAGAATCTTTTGGGGGTAAGACTGGAAGGAGTACCAAGATTAGGTTTTATGAATCTTCTGGACAATTATCCAATCTCTCTCTCTCTCTCTCTCTCTCTCTCTCTCTCTCTCTCTCTCTCTCTCTCTCTCTCTCTCTCTCTCTCTCTCTCTCTCTCTCTCTCTCTCTCGGTAGTCAATCTATTCCTTATTGTCTCCTTTTCTTTATTCGCGATTTTTTCCCCCCTCGAACGTTTCCAAACAAGATTTTGACAACATTTTCAAACAATTTTCCCTGAATATGTGATGGTACACATTCTGGGGCACGGTTCGCTGCTCTCTTGTTTTCAGGCGATGTCGTACCCTGGTGGCTATATTGGAAACTAATTTTCAAGCTTTTTGTGTGAGAGTTTTCGAAGTGGAGGATTGCCTAGGGCGTCTAATATCGACTCATTTGTTCTCGTTAGTTCCACTGGGTTAGTTCCACGGTGTGTTTACTCATCTACATGTGTTCTCAGGATGAGGATCTGCTGTTGGGATATCAGTTCTTGAGATATCAGCTACCCAGTGATATGTAGTACCCAGTACATAGGTACTGTGTACTGGGTTCTACACATCACTATCCACTGGGTACTACACATCACGTTAAGAACATTTCTTTGTGCACATAATATATGTTGTTCTTACTGCTAGAGAAAAGCAGAAATATGTGTTTTCTGCAGCTAATGAGAGACATAAATACCTGGTTCTTGCTGCTAGAGGGAGGAACATAGAGGGCTTTTTCCGCTAGGAAAAAAAAGGAAATTTGAAGCCTTTTATAATGAGCTATTTTTGGCTTCAGTGACCCCACACACCCGTTGCATCCTTGATGAGCAGCCGCTCAAAACAAATCCCATTTCATTAATTTTGAATTTAAGTTATACGTGAAAGTTTCCTTTTTCCACTGTTAAATGGAATGCAATAGTTTTAATCCTAAAAATTAATTATCGCAATTAAGCTTTGGATTCATTTGGTGTTGGCAACGCGGCTCGGGGTTCAGTCAACAAGTCTTCGAGGCATCTGCAGAGTTCGAACCTCCCCCCCAAACGACGCGTTCATCAATCGAGTGAACATTTGGTATTTGAGTGACATTTGAACATCAACAAAGATCAAATGCTCATTAATCCAGCCGACAAACCCAATGGTTTTGCGAATGAAAAATGCTTTGCACTCGAATCACAACTGATGACGTTCGAACATTGATCGAACAGTTTTTCGATCGCTGGCGACCTCTGTTCGAACCGCAATTCTGTAAATGGTTCTTCATTCACGTACTACAAATCCAAATAATCGCCAACAGAACCTAAGCACATAACCTACACCCAAGTATGCAGAATATGCCAATATATAATCATTTTAATTTATATTTGAGAAAATTCTTTCTTTGAATGACCAGGATGTTAAAACTTATATATGTGTCATAGCTGTCGGCCGCTGGATTAAGGAACATTCGATCTTTCTTGATGAGGACCGGCTGCAGAGTTGAGCTGTTCAGTGTATGTTTGGTAAATGACCATTAACCAGCCACTGGCTTTCAGGTAACACTATTGGTTCTTATTTATTCAATGCCGATAAAGTTCCTTTTGATCTCAGATCTGGTATCGTTTATTTATTCAAATGTTTGAACTTTGCTTCTGGATAAATTGGGAGAAATTTACGGAGTTTGCAGCATCGTAATTTTTAACACAGGTGTTTGTTACCTATCAGAATTGTCCCTTGAATGTACCTTTTCCAGTTAGGATCCAGTAAGTTCAGTAGAACTTCGGTTTCAACTCCTTTTGGCCATGTCGTAGCTCAGTCGATTAAGGCAGCGTCTGGGATGCTCTCGGACGCAGGTTCGTCACGGACCTTGTGGATTTGTTCATGGACCTTTTCTACCCTTCGTAATCATTACCATTCATCTGGTTATCCTGTAACTCAGCAGTTTCTACGCTTCGTAATCATTACCATTCATCTGGTTATCCTGTAACTCAGCAGTTTCTACGCTTCTGATTTCCATATAAACAAAAGAAGCCAATTGGGTCACACGAGTCAGCTGCTATTTATATCCACTTAAATTACACTGGAAACAATTGTAAACTCCTTGAAGGCATTTCCCTGGAAAATTTAGAGCTGTTTCACATTTTCTAAATAAATAAAGAGTTAAATAACTTAGAATCCTCAACCCCCCAACTAAGTTGTTAGTTAATATTTAAGCGACTTATTAATATAAGAAGACCTTACTACTTGTATGTTTCCATTCTTTTACTTTTAACTTACTCGATAATGTTAGAAAATTAATGTCATAATGACGTAGGAAACTCGTTTATAATGTGTCGTAGAGTTTAAGGAGTGAATATGTTCACGAAATTAATTATCAGTGTTACAGTTCCTTGTGCATTTTTTTTTTTTTTTTTAGTCACGTGGCCCATTGGAAGCACCTGGTGTACGTTAATTATTCCCCGTTATTTTTTATGTTCTTGCCGTAATGAGCGGTCGGTGTTACATATAGTCCCCTCATCCCTTCGCCATTTTCATAACGTTTCTCTTGGACACTCAATTATGCACATAATATTTGCTTAAAACACACACACACACGCACACACACACACACATACATACACACACACACACATACATACACACACACACATCCAAGAGCCACTGTTCGATCCTGCAAGCACAAATAAGTGAGTACACACACACACACACACACACACACACACACACACACACACACACACACACACACACACACACGAAGCTGGAAATGGAAATGAGTAATAAATTCAAATATTTGTTCAGGATAGTTGTAACACCCCCTCACTTGTTGTTTTATCAATAGAAACAGAACTGATATTTTAGACTTTACAACAGAGCCTTTATATCAGAGCCTCTATATACAGAGCCTCTATGATGTCAGTGAGTGAGTTTTTTTCCCGACGTGGCACTGGTTTGGCCCCATGGTTCCCAATGCACCCTCCGGCCTCTGTGCAGGTATCAATACGACCGAGGTAATCACAGGGCATTAACAAGCAGGGTGATATATTTTCGAGAAACACTGGCCTGGGCACTCAACTTTTTATTGTTTTGTTTATTTTATTTATATATACAAGAGTTCTTACATTCTTGTACTAGCCACTAGCACGCATAGAGTTTCGGGCAAGTCCTTAATCCTAATTTTCCCCGGAATACGACCCGCCAAATCGTTTAACAACCAGGTACCTATTCCCTGCTGGGTGAACAGAGGCTACAGTTAAGGCTTATCGCCCAGTCAATCCGCCACAGCCAGGATACGAACGCAGGTCAAAGCGCTCGCGAGGCGAGTGTCTTAAAACCACTGCGCCAAGGAGACTGCTAATTATCCGACAGTCAATGGCCAGTTCGTAATTGGTCTAAGCTCTTTGGAAGAAGGCTTGTGAGTAGCCCTTTCCACAGGAGGTGGGATCTATATGCTCACTTGGAAAGGGAAGAAGTAGCACCGAGTTGGCAACGGTCGCCTAAAAGGAGAATTGTGTTAGATTATTTCAAATTAGAAAAGGACATCGCTGTATTTCAATACTGTTGAAGCCCCCATGACTTGTAGAAGAGTAAGTGTTTGTTCCCTATTTCAGTTCAGTACATTTTAACTCTCTTGTCATAGAGATAAGAGCTGTAGCACCATATGTATCCCATTTAGAATTCTGTGTAATACATGTCCTCATTTGGGATCTGAAAACATTCTCCTTTATCACTTATTTCGTCTTTTGGATTCATTATGCCTATGGTATACCTAGGCTAGTCGGGTATGTTAACTATCCTCCCTTGTTCTATCCACCTGTGGTGCCAGTCATTCGCTCTCTCCGCTGTCTTTGTAGTAACAAACTAGAATCAATGAAGTTATATTTTTTCAGATATTAACGAAGCTCTTAACGAGTCTAGGAATGTGGGTTCGTTAAACGTTACACATCAGTCCTAGCAGGTGTGTAAACAATTAATAAAAGGTCCCAAAATTGTCGCCAGCCAGGACCCACAATGGGAAAGGGTCTAGTAGAATAGGATTCGTTCTCGACTCACAATCGTGGAATAAAGAGAGAGAGAGAGAGAGAGAGAGAGAGAGAGAGAGAGAGAGAGAGAGAGAGAGAGAGAGAGAGAGAGAGAGAGAGAGAGAGAGAGAGAGAGAAATTGGCAGGGTGTCGATACACAGAACTGAATATCGAACATCGATAAATATAAAAAAATCTCTGGTTGGTGTATAATCCGGTGAAATAGAGCTGTGATGGGCAAAAAAATGGGTGGTTTTATTTCGTGAATATTTTCTGATGCGTAGTACTTTTCCACGCGATAAATTAATAATTTTTGTGTAATTTATGTAACGGTTGTATTTTATTATCTGTATTGTATCATATATTAGCAGTGATTATTTCCCCCCCTCGTGTTAATTATGAAATATTTTGTTATTCTCTGCTATTGTTATTTATACATTTATATACGTGTTTTGTCGTAAATTGCTCGTTTATTCGCATATTTGTTCCTCGTTCGTCCTCCCCCATTTTACATGACTAGCTATTTCCATTGTGGTTGGCCATGCACCCATTCTCTCCATGGGGGCTGCTCCCCCCACCACATTCGCCATGGGGGCTGCTCCCCCCATCACATTCGCCATGGGGGCTGCTTCCCCCACCACATTCGCCATGGGGGCTGCTCCCCCCACCACATTCGCCATGGGGGCTGCTCC